TGTAGGCAAGTTCCTGTAAAAAAAAAAAAAAAAGAAAAGAAAAATGGCCAAAATAGGACTGTAAACATTACTTTTAGTTTAGAGCTTTTGTTCAGACTCAAGCTTAAAAGGGAAAGTTTGGACATTTTAGCTAGTGACCTAGTTTTGTGTTTCAAAGGTCATATTGCCACACTATGTGGGGTAAGTTGTCACAATGCAATATGCAATGCTAAGCACATGCAATATTAAGTTTTAATGTTGCTTGGCACGTGAAATATAAACTTGTGACCATAAGCCACCTTACGTGATATTCTCGTCTAATCTTTCTCACATTGTGTCAGTGAGGTTAATGAAAAATGTAACGATTACCAGTTTGATGATAAATCATGATAAAATTCCCCATGGTTAGTATTACCGTTTCATCTTTTAATTATCATTAAAACCGTATTAGATTACAGCGATTTGAACAACTCGCGATAAATAAATATTATCCAGCATAAAGCACAGTTTTAAGTAACAGTCTCACGTGCGCACAGCACGCAAAGTAGTTTCGTTTTGAGTGAAAACGGCGGAAAAGCTGGGAGATTTTAAAAGAGTGCTAAGGGAATTATACAAATCCAGCATAAAGCACAGTTTTAAGTAACAGTCTCATGTGCGCACAGCAGTAGAGTAGTTTCGTTTTGAGTGAAAACAGGGTGGAAAAGCTGGGAGGTTTTAAAAGAGTGCTAAGGGAATTGTACAAATGAAAATATGAATGAATTAATTATATGAATGTACCTCTGAAAGTTTTCAGAAACGATTCTATAGCATTTTGTTTTCATCTTCGCTCCATGTAATACTTAAAGGAAGTGTTCTTAATCGCAATACTGCTTTGTCCACGGAGTTTACAGGAAACAGCTCTAATTCAGCTTTTGCAGAAGCACCACCTGCTGTCAGCGAGTGGATTTCCAGAGACTTATATTTACATTCAGTCTTTGTGCAGTTTCTGTCTGGCCAAAAACAGACCGAATTAGCATGCTCTGCTGTCAATTTTGACCTGTTGATGAAAAACAAGCTTATGTGGATTCTACACATTTAAAGAATTCAGATAAGTTATCTAGAATTATTTATGGAGCAGATAAAATACATATAATCATTTATTAATCAATTAT